GCGGGTCGTGGTTGGGCCCTTTCGGATGCTGAAGAGGTTGATCATGGAGCTGGCTCCAAATGAGAAGTTGATGGAAGCTTATTACTCACTTTTGCCATTTCTACGCCCAACTTTGTTCCCTCTCTGTTGAAATGAAAATAGGCCTATAAATGAAGCATTTTCATGTGGGTGGTGATCTTATTTTCTTTTTTTTTACGTTTCGCCAACATTTCAGATTTCAGATAGTTGGTAGATTGGGGAAGGGAGCCTAAATACCGTGCGCCCATAGTGTTGCGGACCGTTCTTGTGCTTCTTTTTATGTATACTTTGTACAATTTCTTGTTCTCTGTGTACTGATGAGTAAATAAATTGATAAACCATAATAATTTCCAATATGGATTTACTGTGAGTTTAAATAAGTTTATTTACTTAGTGGTAATTTTTCCCCTTATATTTAACCTATACTTTAAAAATGTTTTTGGAGATATTAGCAAAATTTCAAATGCTACTACAAAAGTTTGATTGTGCCCTCAATGTTTTGTATGAAAAAAATTGGTTGTTAGCAATTTTTATTAGAATACCCAATGAAATGAAGTGACATACAAATTGCCATTATTCATTATTCAATCTGTTTTAAAAAAAATCTTCTTATCGTTATTTTGTCAAAATACTTAATAGAGTGAAGGGTATAATTAAAACTCTTAAAATTTTAGTCAATTTGAACATAGTTCAACTGGTCGAAAACAAGTTGGAAGTTTGAATTTTTACCTCCAAAGGTTGAACTCAAAAAAAAAAAGATAATAAAAGAAAAAACTTAAAGTGTTAGGGGCAAAATGAAAACTAACTATATAAATCATGCCCCTAATCAAGCAGTTGGTGTCAATTTTGCTCCAACATTATAAAAGTTGTAATTTTTTTATCTCATGGGACATTTTAAAAGAAATTGTTTGTGGAAGTAAAAAATTGAAGATAGAATGGAAACTTTTAAAATCTTAAAAACAAATTGAAACCAATTACTCTTCAATGTATTTTTATTAATTTATCCAGTATTGCATTGCAAGGAATTTGAAAGTGATTATATTAATTTGTCAATAATTAAACGTACCAAATTCAACTCTAATAGAATCTTAAATTTGCAAAAACGAAACAAAAACTACTAGTTTTATAGTGTTCATATTAAACTCAACTATAACGAAATAAAAGAAAAAGCAACAAAAAAAAGGTGCAAAAAGGAGCTTTATAACAGACATGAAAGTTTTACATTTTCACCCTTCAAAATCAAGGGTCAAATTTGTATTTTAATATCGGTACTTTAGTCTTAATTTCAATTTAATTTCTAAAGTTCGATTAAATCTTTGAAACGTCTTTGCTCTTACATGACACGATTTTTTTAATTAGACGGAGCATCTCAAAGTATAATACCATGGAGAAACTATTAATATCAAATAATAATATAAATGATGAGGAAGATTTAATAATAAAGAATTAAATTGAAACTTTTAAAACTATAAGAAACAAATTAATACTCAACGGATCGAGACTAAATTCTCGACTTATCCAAGTAAAAATATGCTAAACCCATTAACAAATGAACTAAAGCATTTTACATTAGGAAATTTGCTACAAATGTATCCTAAAGAGTTCGTTTTAGAGTACAGCTGAAAACTAAACCCCTCTAAACTACAGAAGCAAGTCAGTTTTATACAACAAAAATACACTGCTTAAATACAATCTAAATCTGCAACAAAAAAACCTTCCACATACCTCAGCAGCAGCAGCTAACACGGCGAGATAACAAACAACAGAGATGAAGATACAAACACGAGACCTCGTGCACGAGTCATTGAAACAAGGTAAGCCTATCTATTTCCTCCCAAAATATGAAAACATAGTTGACTGGTTGTCACTACCAGGCTTCATGCCTCCCTTCTTCCTTATCTTCGAACCACTACCTATCTTGACATAGTCGTTGATGCCGATGTTCGAATCGGATGAGATGTCTTCACGGTCCCGTTTCATTTGGCATGTTGCCGCACTCTCAGAAGAACGCTTTGCAAGACTATCCTTTGATTCTTCGGCTCCTATAGAGCAGGATGAAGCTCCATGATTTACATCTCTTTCATGTTCTTCCAGAGGTTGTGATGGCTCGGGCTTCACAGATGTGTTGCAGGGAGATGTCTCCTCTTGGGAGTCTGAAGTTTCCTTCTTAGTTTCCTTTGCAGAGAAAAATTTGGAGATGAGGTTGTTTCCTTCAGTCTTTAACTGTATCTGTACGAGAAAACATAAAAATGTTATTGTTAGGCAATATAGATCAATCATTAATGTGATGAGGACAATGACTATCACTTGATTAAAAGGCATACTGATTAGAGCTATATTTGCAATTATTTCTTAAAAAACACTATATCTGTAATTACTCTAAATAGCATAGCCCATTCTGTAGGACAAATTTATTTTTAAGGAGCAAGTGATTTAACGTTTCCAATGTGAAAGCCTACACTGACAAGTTTCGATGTGAATATAAATCCTAGTCATTTTCATTTTCGACCTGAAAGTGAATTTTAATTGTCACTAGAAGAAGAGGAGGAAAGAGAGGGTGAGAGAGTGGGGGTAAGGAAATAGGGTACGTGTAAGGGGCACACACCCTTAGATGGGAGGAAAGGGATCTTTTTGTCAAAAACCGTTCGGAGAGGTGCGAAAGCTCTCTAATCTCCCTTCCCTTGGCCCCTGTGTAATGCCTTCTGAATATTATTCTATCAGAAACGTGCAAGAATAAACTAACCAATACTTAAACCAGTCAATATGCAAATAAAAATATAAATTTCAGTCACTTTCATATTGTTACAAAGCAAATTGAGGTCAACAGAATGTGGTTTGAACATTTTATAGAACTTTTTGCTTTTCACAATGGAGGTCCAAAGACAAAGAATGTCCTTTCAAATGAACTCCATTTCATGTATCAACAAATTCAAACATCACCCAAACATTCCCTACCAACAAATTCATTCATCACTTGGGCGCACAAACATTATCAAGAAGAAATCACATGATTGCACAAATATTATTCTGTAAAAGCCCAAAGAGGCATTAAAATGAACTATGTTTCTTTGTATTGTATCGGCTACTTGAATCACTGCAGCCATATGTATTGTCTGTAATCAACGTATACTTTTATTATATAGTTAAAATATATGTTCATCAATCATAAAAACCAGGGGGAGAAAACAAAAAACCCTTGAAATTTGGAAGAATAAACCAACAAACTAGCTGAAGCGATCCAGTGGAGGTGAGAAACATGAAGCAACAAAAATACACTCTCAGATTAATTGTTGATCAAGGAACTAACAATAACCACAATCTACTAGAATAATCTAACTCACAATTTATATTGCACAACGCCGTGTGATTTTTAAACTTCAACCAAGATGGCAAAATTATCAATCAAGTCGAAAAGAATGGATGAGATGAGATACCTCCTTAATGCAGTCTGGTCCGTCAAATGATGACTTGCCCATGGAAGGAGTTACAGGGTACCACACCTAGCATTTATGTTTTGAACATTAGTGAATTATTAACAAAAGTTTCAATTATTCCAAAAAAAAAAACAAAACAAAACAAAAGTTTCAATTTTCCTTTCAAAAAAGTTCTTACCAAATCAGGAGCCTCATACGGTTTAAGGACAGTATCAAACTTGGAAGATGAATCATTCAACCACATATCCATCCGTTCTTTATCACCAAAAATTACAGGCATCCTATCTAAACAGATCACCCATCAGCCACTAAAGAAAGAAATTGTCTCTCATCTAAAATTGATTATTCTCTTCACTTAGTGCCAATTGGGATGTGTTTTTATAAGGTTCACTGGCTTTTGATTGGATGGTCGTATTCACTTATTTTAATATTCATTTTTAGCAAGAAAGTATGAAATAACCAAAAGCCATGGTGACTAATTACAAGAAAACCTTCCAATTAGAGGTAAGGGCATTTAGAGAGTAGCTTTTTTTTTTTAATAACTGGGAGTCGGAGCTTTACTCCCCTATACTCAGAGATACCTGCGCCCACCCCAAATTTAGAAAGTAGCTATTGAAAGGGGAATAAAAACATTAACACCATGCAAGAGCTAAAACAATTATCCTTAAAAATAATTTTTAAAAAATCTCCAAAGAGAGATGTGGCATTTTCTGTTGTTCCTTTCCAACCATAAGCTCCACAAAAAAGCCCGGACAAATTGATCCCAAAAAATTCCTCCCTCCTTAAAAAGGATGACCAGTCAACAAGGAGCTAAGAAAGATGGAGGGGCTGTTGTATAAGACCGTATGCCAGCTGAAAGTCTCAAGCATTAAATTCCCAAAACAAGGAGGAAAAACTGCAAGTTATGAAGAGATGACCCGTGTTTCTACCTCTTTCTAGCACATATGGCAGCAATTCGAGGAGAGGGCTATGTGTGCAGTTTCCTTTGTATCCTATCACGAGTGTTAACAGCTCCATGGCAAAGCTCCCAGCAGAAAATTTTAATTTTCCTTGGATACTATCATTTCCATATGTTATTGTACAAAGGCTGCTTCTGTTGGCTTTCCAAGGACACAAAGAGAAGACAGATTTGGTGGAGAAGCTTTTGGATGGGTCAAGAGGTCAAATCCATTTATCCGTTGGTGGGAGAGACAGCACCTTATTGAGCTTGTTGGATAGATGAAGTCATTCCTCAATTTTCGAGTCCTCAATTTACTGAGAGGACCCTGGCTAGTATTTTGTAGGTGCAATGTATGAGGCTAATAGGGTGGAAATCATGGACTGTTTAGCATCTTTTTTTTTGGATGAGGCAGATGTATGTCTCGTTGAGGGTTGCATTGATGACTCCATTTTTAAAAAAATCCTGGAACATCGCCATGATGTTGCCTTTGATGATGTTCCAAGATTTTTGGAAAAACTCGGATGTGAATCCATTGGGCCCTAGAGCTTTGTAGGAGCCAAGATCAAAAACTACCTTGTAAACTTTGTCCGATGTGAAGAGTTGTTCAAGTTGCTAATTGCTATCGAGGGTGATTGGATCCCATCTCAAATTTGTTGGGCAAAAGCACTAACCTTCTTTTCCAGTGTAGATAGATTTGTAAAAATCTATAAACTCTGCTTCAATGTCCCTGATCTGTGTTAAGCTGATGTCATTCCTCGAATGGATTTCTGTAATGGTACTCCTTTTATTGTTTGCTAGGCAGCAATGGAAAATTTTGGTATTTTCAGCCATTTTTGTTTACATTTTTGCCTCCTAAAGATTTCTTCTGGTGCAGCCAATGAGAAGACTTTTTTCCAAATCCTGTTCCACTTTGAAACCTTGGTTGGGGAAAAAGGTGCAAGGCTTTCCATCGCATCTAAGGCTTGTAGCTTCTTTGGTAGGCTATCTCTTTGTAAAAAAGAGACATCCAAAATTCTCTGTGTTCCATCCTCTCAAAGCAACCTTAAAAGACTTTAGTTTCATCGTGAATCCATACCCTAGCCATCCCATCATAGGATTTTTGTTCCACCACGATTCAAGGAGAGGGATGAAAGATGGTTGAGTTAGCCACATGTTTTCGAACCTAAATGGCGTAGGGCCCCATTTATTCTAGCCGAAGTCTAGGAGGATTGGGTAAGTGGTCTGATGTGGTTCTATCCATTCTTCGAGTTGTTGGGTGGCCAAATTTGTTGATGCAACCCTCAACGAGGAGGAATTTGTCAATGGGGGAGGAGTATTTGTTGTTGGACCATGTATACTTGCCATTTCCCAGAGGTATGTCTGTGAGAGCCAAGTCAATGATGAAAGAATAGAACAAACACATACTTTTAGTTTGGGGCTTTCCTCGTGACTTCTCCCAAGATCATATAGTAACATTGAAGTCCTTGGCCAGTAACTAGCATTCAGCAGGGCAAAGATGAGAGAGATCCCTCTGCTCTTGCCAAAAACAAGGCTCTATGATTGAAGGATCATATATGCCTGTGATCCATAAGAGGAAACCATCGGCCAGACAAAAGCTAAAGGTTAGAGAGAGATAAAACCTTCTATAATCCTACAGCATTGAAGTCCAGATCATTCCCAAGGATAAGAATGCCTCCAGCTGATCCCGTTACATCTAAAGCCACCTAGTTCATCCCGTGGGAGCTTCATAGGGATTTGACCATGCTGCGACTGACATTATTAGAGAGCTTGGTTTCTTGGACGACGACCAAATTTGGATTGATGCAGGAGATGGACCATTTTATGAGGGATGTCTTCTTCCATGAGTCCAGGCCTAAGAAGCACAGAGACGGACACACGACACGGATAAGACACAACACGGACACGACGACACGTCAATTTTCAAAAACGTAGGACACGACATGTTGCGGACACGTTAATTTTTTAAATGATTTAATTAATATTTAAATAGAAATTCTATATATATATATAAAAGAAAACCTAACTCTAGCCCCAAATTTTCTCTCATAATAAAGAAGACTATTTTCATCTTTGCTTCCCTCTTCCCACTTAATAATTGTAAGGCCTCCAATTATAAATGTTTATGTTAGGAGGGGTAAAGGGGAGAATTCCACAAGTTAGTTGTGGAGTGTCAGTTAGAGGAGAGAGATGGAGGGACATGGAATAAAGTAGGAGGAATTTAGGGAAGATGTTTTTTATGCTTTTTGTGGAGTAGAACGGTTATATTCTGTGGAGAGGTTACCAGCCCTGTCGAATTGGCTGGAGAGATATTGTACTACTGTGTTCTTGTTGTGTATTTGAATTTCAAGAAGTTGTAAGGGGATTTCCTTACAATAATCTAGCCCTAGTTTTTATCTCTTTCATCATAACCCATTACCCTCCTACTTCATCTTTTTCTCGCCTCCTTTCCTTCGCCTCCTTTCCTCTCATCCTTCTCCTTTCTCAACATCACCGCTTCTTCTTCCTTTTTCTTCATCTTCTTCTTTGTTCACCTATCTTCTATAAGTGTCGGGAGTACGTGATTTTTGGTTGATTTTATTTGGTTTCTAGAGAAGAAAAAAGACTCCTAGCTTGGTCTTCAGTTGATGAAGAAGAAATAAGAAAACTAGGTAAGAGGGACAAAATAGAATCGGGAAGTGGGAGGAGAAAGATCAAAAAGAAAAAAAAAAGACACTCGAGTGTCCCGGACGTGTCCCCAGCGTGTCCCAGATGTGTCCCAAACGTAATCCCCAACGTGTCGGATTTTTTAAAATTAAAAAAATTAAAAATTAATTTCAGACACTTGTAGAACGCATGTCAGAGCGTGTCAGTGTCGGACACGTGTCGAACACCGACACTTCTTCATTTTGAGCATGTCCCTACTACCTAGGTCCAGCCCCTAACATTCCATGTGATGATCTTCATTGGTTATGGAAGGACCCCCTTTGAGAAGTTTCCTTTTCTTGTAGTTAATGGAAGAAGAAAGGTTTTTAATTCTCTCTCCTTTTGCTGCTTTTCTTTTTGTTTGTTGGAAGTTTGCTTCTTTCTGTGGTATAGCCTATATTAATGGACATCCATCAATATCATTCTTTTTCAATATTAATGGACATTCATTTCTTACCTAGAAAATTATATGCTCCAAGGAAGCGTGGGTTAGCCTATATGTGTGATCTTTTGAGAAAGTATAGAGCATTGAATGTCATTTATTTCTTCTGTCAAATGCACCTTCCCTTCATAATAAATGACAAGCTTGTTATTGTTTAAAGAAATACAACGGCTACCATTTGAAGGGAGGGCTTAGAAGTCTTAGAAATATGCGTACTTATATATGTACTTCTAATGATTGATTCCCTATGGATGCTTAACTCTATCACCTTAGTCCTAGCACACATCTGTTTTCTATAAAGGCTAGTAGAAACTCCTTGTAATCTTCAAACCTCCCCTCTGGTTGGTTTCACCCTTGGACAATTTTATGTTTATACAATAATCTTTTCTTATTAAAAATAGAAATTGATGAAACCACATTAGAGATTAACAATTTTAAGTTCCATCACTTGCCGTTCTTAATTCAAATCTAGTTGTAAACGTAATCTAAATCAGCATGGGAAAAGGTAGGACTGACCGTGCAACCACTCTAAAGCTGGAGATGATGAAGTCGTCAAAATAGTAAAAGTGTAAAGTAATTCACCTGAAAAAACAATAACAAATAAGTAGTACTTCCTGGAAGAATTACATTAATAACTTGTCATCACTGATATCAGATACCAAATCCAGAGAATTAAATTACCAGAGATTAAAGAAAAACTTCAATTACCCAGTCCTGAAGTTTAAAAAATGGCTATAGCTATACCAACTGGAACTAGTACAAGAAATTAAAAACATTCAAATAATCAAAACAAAGTGTAGGCAAAAATTTTCTATTGCTGGAACATAAAAGAAACTTACCTTCAGGATTTTCCCAATGATCATATAAAGCAGCAAAAACAAGTGGCCGCCCATCCTTAAAATGAACGTAATACGGCTGCTTTTTTGATCCATCCTTTTTCCACTCATAGAACCTACAATAAATAGAACTGAGGTAAGGAGGTTCGTACAAGAGTAACAACAGACGATATACACAAACATGCATTCTTATATAAAAGTTCAATGTTGTTCACTCTCCAGTAACTAAATAAAAGTAAATGGAATTGACTAGCTAAGTGAGGAAGAAGTAAGAACATTCAAATAAAAGATGTAGAAATTCCTTGTGAACATTTGAAAACACCAGTAACCAAAGCTGTGGCAGAGTAATGGGTGGATGAGAAGAAAAATGAATTAAGAAAACTAAGCATACCCTTCCACTGCCACAAGGCATCTGCTTTTAGGAACTAGACGGCGAAAAGAGGCCTTCTCACGTATGGACTCTGAACGAGCATTGAACTGCACTTTGCAGATACTAGATAATAAGTATATTGGACAGTGTTCATGGTCTACTCATCATTTTCTTTTTCTATAAGAAATTGAGCTTTCATTAAGACAAATGAAAGAAATTTCCCTGAATCGTAGGCACAAGGCAAAAGCATGAGTTCATAAGATGCACAATATCTCAGAAGTCAGAACAATGAATTGATAAACTTAGAACATTTTCAACAAAAAGCAATACGACTCATTGATTAATATTTACTAAAGCAAAACCCAGGAGTTTTTAGAACCAAGAAACAACCACAAAATAGCTCCTAAAACAAACTACATCAAATCTACAAAGCAATGTACAATAGATATGTTGTTTTTTTTTAATTTGGATTGTAATGTTATGAACAATATTATCCATCTCAATGACTCTGCACAACAATCAGACAAAGCCAACCAAAAAAGAGAGTACCATCTTGTAGTAATTAGGTTTCTCGGATTTGTCAGTAAAACTAGGAATGAGCCCCCATTTCATGCACTGGAGGACGACTCCTCCGCCACCCGATTCATCATCTCGACGAACAACCGGCAAATCCGAGCCCGGCGAGGCATTATACAGCGGGCGAAAACTAAACATTCAAACAAAAAATCGCAGCCGTTATGATCGGAACATTTCTGGCAGACATAGGACAGAAAGAGAACATTCAGAATAGAGTGGAGCAGAAGGAAATAGGGAAAGAAGTGGATGATTTTACCGGTGGATGTTGAGGGTACGGAGGGGACCAGCGGCGCGGTGGCAGGCCCTGGGGACGTCGGCGGCTGTGAGAGTACAACGGGCTCTACCGCACATCCCTCAGTTTTATGCTATTGTAGTGGTGACGAGAGGAAAAGTTGAGAAGCTTGAGTGATGGATGGCTATGGCGGCTTGCTTCTGGACCGTCGTGTGTCGACAATGGCGGGAAGAATATTTGACACCAAGGGATCGAATTTCCGACTATCCACGGTTCGAATTTCAATAAATTGACATTTTTATTGAATAAAAATGTTGACAAAATATTTACAAAATATCACTATTCAATTTTAATTTATTTAAAAATGATTGGATGTTTATCTGTTAGTTTCAATAAACATTGTGCCTTTAGGATCATTGACTAAGAAATTATTTAATTTCCTATCTCTCCTATCTGTCTATCAATTGAAACAAATTACCATGAGATAGATTGGTAATAGAATTTACTAAATTTGAATACATTTAATTCCACTTAAAAAAATTAGGCAAGGTTCAAAACAACTCAAATTCGAGTTCAGAGGCTAAGTTCAAAATCACCTAAGTTCAGACATTTTGAAATTAAATTGAGTTCATGACCCAAATAGCCTAAATTAAATCTATCTCTATAAATAGAGAACTTCACTCATTTCAAAGGGTTTGTTGGAGAATTCAAAGAGTAGATTTTAACTCAAGGCGAGATTTGAAAGGTTAAAAAACCAAGCATCCAACCTTGAAATGGAGTGGATAAATACTATAGATTTTATTTAATAACATTTTACATCATAATGGTCTTTGTAATAAAAGTTATATTAACAAATTTTGGTTGGAGTAATTTTATTTTAATTATTTATTAGTATTAAATAAATTGTTGTATTTTTTTTTAGAAAAGAAATAAATTGTTGTAATAAAAATAAGTTCAGCGGTAATTGACATATACCTTTAATCATGAGGTTGTGAGTTCAATCCCCACCCCTACATGTTGTACTCGAAAAAAAAAAAAAGAGTTCAATCGCTACTAATATATGCTTCCTACGATATACAATTTTAGTAAAAAAAAATTTATTTCGATTTCAAAAGGTTTATAATAAACAAACAAAGAAATAACATATGAATTTCTATTGATTTTCATTTCGATTTTTTTTATAAGTTATCTATTTTTATCCCAAATGCATTTCCGATTTAAATATCGATGTCGATGAAAATATCGAGGTTTTAGTTTTATACAAATTTGGATGAAAATATAATAATAAAAAAATCAATATGGACAAATATTTTTTAAAAAATTATAAAAATAAAAAATTCATACAAATATTGAAACTAACAGATAAACATCCAATCATTTTTAAATAAATTAAAATTGATGAAGACTTTGATGAAGACACCTCTTCGAAACGGTTTCCTCACATCAATATATATCTGGACTCGGAGTGTTTCACCCCAACATAGCCCATCATCGTCACAATCCACGTTCTCAAACTTCCCGACTAAATTCCCAATGGCCTTAGCTATATTTCTTGAAAAACCTACAAGGGGTAATTCATGAAAATGGATCTAGAAAGATACATATCTGATCTCCATTTCAGCAATACTAGAGTTCGCGCGCAACTCTTCAAAAGAGAGGACTCCATTGTAAAAAAACTACGGGTCGTCGTCCACCACCCGTCACAAAATCCCTAGTGCTCATGAATTGGCATACGAAAACATTCTTCCCCATACCCTTGATCTTCACATTATCCAGATTCCAAATTCGTGGCATCATTACTTTGAAAATTTCGGCTTTATCGATTCTGCTGTCAGGATCTTGCAAGCTAGAGCAAATTTGAGGTTGTGATCATATTGAGTGATCACATTATCCTCAATTTCAAAGGACTTCCCTTTTTCTTCTTCCGTCAATCTCAATTTTTCAACTTGTCGACTTAGCAAATCGTCCACCATGCCTGAAGAGACCCGAATTAAGACTAGCTGAACCCCTTACTAGAGAGACCTCCTGCCCTTGAAGCACCACCGCCGACACCTTGTCTTCAACAATTTCTCAGAGAGAAAGAGAGAACCAATGTTTCCGATGATAGACTTTATTAATTAAGTATTATGTTTTCTCAAAAAAGGAAAATATATATATATATATATATATATATATTTTTTTTTTTGAAACTTAAAAGTATTTAATATGTTCCTAAATTTTTAACTTTGTGCCTAATAGATTATTTGTCTAACTATTAGGTCCCTTAACTTTCAATTCTTAATTTAATAGTTTTTTGAACTTTCAATTGTGTGTATAATAAGTTTATAAATTGAAAAAAGATGTATAATAAGTCAATGACCTATTAGATATTCAAAATTTTATTGGATAGAAAATTGAAAGATTATAACATACCAAATTACTTTTTAAAATTTCATACGGAAAAATGGGTTGACTGACCCTTCTTCTCAGGCCCACTTTTATATATATCTCTTTTAAAAACACATGTTTTCTAATCTTTTACTAAGATCACTTTTTACCCTTCCTCCAATCATTCATCATTTCTCTCTCTTCTATGATTATTATTATTTTGTCTCTCCATCTCCCTCCCGATTTTTTCAACTAGAAAAATTAATTTCCCTCACTCTTCTTCACACTCCCTCTCTCTCTCAAGTCTAGTGCTGCTTTCACTCTCTCTTCCTCTCTCTAAAATCCAGCGCCTCTGTTCCATCTTCCTCACACCTCATCTCTCTCTAAAATTCAACTCATCTTCCCCTCCCTCTTCTTCATAGCCCCTCCCTCCCTAAAAAATACAAGTAAAACAATTTTAAAAAGATTTTTTTTCTTTCTCTCTACATGAGAGTGCGGATCCTTTTGGCTCTATCCTTACCTAGACTGCAGTCTGTGATTTTAGCTGCAGACCATGGAAGACATCATAGCAGGTTGTGGAAATCTCAACTTGAGAAGCGAGGAAAATGAGACTGTTACAATCGACGAAGGCAAGCCAATCATGACCTCGGAGAATGTGCAACTTTGTACTGTGGGCAAAATCCACACCAATAAAAGAATTAGTGTGGAAGCCTTTAAGTCGGTGATGAAATCAGTGTGGAATGTTCATGATTCCACAAGGATAGAGACTATCAGCATGAATATTTTTGTGTTTCTGTTCAAGTCTCTACGTGAGAAAATTCGTGTTCTAAATTCAGGACCTTGGACTTTTAACAAATCCTTTCTCGTTCTCTCATCTCCAACAGCAACAGATCAACCTCTTGAAATGAATTTTAATATCTGCGCTTTTTGGGTTCAAGTTCATAACATTCCTTTTGAATGTATGTTAAAAGAGATGGCGGTGCTTTTAGGAGGCAAATTGGGGGAAGTGGAGGAAGTTGAATGTGAAGGCCCTGGTGGCTGGGCAGGACCCTTCTTACGAACGCGGGTGAAGATAGACATTTCAAAACCCCTGCGAAGAGGCATGAAGATTAGAAGTAGTGAAGGAAAATACCTATGGTGTCCTATCCGATATGAAAAGCTCCTAGATTTTTGTTATGATTGTGGAATGATTGGCCATTCGAGTAGGGAATGTGATAACCGAAGCACAGTTCATCAGAATCAATATGACGATTGGCTTCATGCGACTTTACTGAAGAAGAGCACAAGATATCAAGAAGATGGTTTTGGAATAAGGGGCGGTCGGTTTAAAAGAGGACAACGAAGCAATGGTGGTCGTCGGGAGGGCGAGGGGATTGGCGGAGGAGTACTGATAGTCATGAAGATCAGGAAATTTGGCTGGCAAGTCACCGGAGTACGACGGAGGAAGTTCTAGTAAGGGGGTCTGAAGGGGCGACAGTTTCGAACGTGGCAACTCCCACGTCAAGGGCGGATTAGCGCAATCAATTCCAAATGGAAATTCTATGGTTGAGGGTATTTTGGAAACGGAAGATTCTGTGCAGGAAAATAAGGTTAATAATGAGGTGCCGATGGATTTTGAATTTAATGGAAATCCTACAGAAAATCACCAGAATAAAGGACCTAAAATTTCCTCCCATGACATTGGGCTACCTGATATAGTTAGGCTCAAAGAGAGTGAAATTAAAGGATCCAAACAGGGCTGGAAACGACTAAACAGAGCTGAAAAGGGTAAGAGCGTGATCGTGGATTTATTAAACCCAGCGTCAGGGAAAAGGAAAGAAGCCCAAGTGGAATCTTTGAATGATTTGGATAGTGGAAAACAGAAACTTCAAAAGCTTGAGAAGGGAGAAAGTTTGCTCCTAAATCAAAAGCCTGCAACTGAGATTACTATTGTGGCGGTGGCTGACCCTTAGCCCCGCCTTTCACAATGATTGGCCTTTTTTGGAATATTCGTGGGGTGGGGTCCCCTGCAATATTCCAAAGCCTGTATAATCTAGTACAGGAGATAAAACCCCACTTTTTGTTTCTTTAAGAGACAAAGGCAACAAGGGACAAAATGAACAATTTAAAGATTCGTCTGGGTTTTCAAAACTGTTTCGCGGTAGATTGTCAGAGGAAGAGGGGCGAAATTGCTCTATTGTGGCAACAGCAGTTGGTTTTTAATTTAATTTATTATTCTCAAAACCACATTGATGGTGGGATTGAGTTTGAAGGGAAATTTTGGCAAATGACGTGTTTCTACGGACATCCTGAGGAAGAAAAGAGACAGCTCTCATGGGACCTTATGCGATGGCTGAAAGGGAGTGATTCAATCTCATGGCTGATAGGAAGAGACTTTAATGGCATATTAAGTCATGATGAGAAATGGGGGGGAAACCAGAAGAATGATAAGTTGATCAATGACTTCAGTCAGGCGATGGATGATTGCAATTTAATAGATTTAGGCTTCTCTGGTGAGCCGTTTACGTGGTGTAATAGAAGGCCAAATGGGAAGGCTGTATATGAATGATTGATCGGGTGTGTTTTAACCCAGCGTGGGCAAGTTTATTTCCAAATAGTATTAAACACCACTTGGAGTATAGGACATCCAATCATATACCACTGGCGCTAAACATAGGGGAAGAATTGGTATGGAAGGCAAAGAGGTCCGCAAGAATTTACAGATTTGAGGAAACCTGGCTTGAAGATATAAACTGCAAACATATAGTTAAGAATAGTTGGAGTAGTGGAAATTTTGATGGCAGCCCTCAGTCTCTGATCTCAAAGCTGAATTATTGTGCAACTCACCTATCCCATTGGGGATGAAATAAAGCTGGAAATTATCGTAGAAGACTGAAAGAAGCGGAAACCCAACT